TGAGTTGTGATTGTCCGAGGTTCGGTACCTCATGGAGTTTGATGACTAAATCTTGATATAAAAGTGGTTGTAGTTGTTGAGTTATTACTTGTCCTTGCTGTATTTGTGATTCCAGATTTAGGTTGTGTTCCATTCATTTTTCTGTGTCATTTTTATGGTATTTCACTGATACTTGTTGTTTCCTTTCTTATTGCCATTACTATATTGTGAGCCATATTGCATAGTTTTTATGTAGATATCATATTTCTGTTGTTCATATACTTTTACTTGTTCAGTTTATTAGACCAGTGGGTGTCTTGACTATTCCTCGTCACTACTCCACCAAGGTTAGTCTTGATACTTACTGGGCACCGCTGTGGTGTGCTCATTCTACACTTCTGCACATTTTTGTGCAGATACAAGTATTGTTCATTAGTAGCTATGCAGGTCATTGCTGTGGAGACTCAAGGTAAACCTGCTGCTGTGTTCGCAGGCTTCGGAGTCACCTTCAAGTTTTCGTTTTGCAATGTTATTCTTATTTCTGGACAATTGTATTTAGAAGTTTTCTAGCAAACACTCTGTAGAGCTTATGACTTGTACTACCAATTTTGGGAATGTTAAATTTTTAAGAGATTTCTATTTCAAATTGTTAGATGTTGTTTAAATAATGTTGTTGTTTCAATTAATGTTAGGCTTATCTAGTCCCTAAGACTATGTGCCATCACGATACCCAACAGAGAGAAAATTGGGTCGTGACACGTAGTTGATAAAGTTTATCCAAAAGGCATATTGGTTTTATGACATTATGAGAAATCTTATTAATGTATTTCATATGTATTTTATTCATTTATACATGTACATTGACCCATGACTAGATGGCGTTATATACGTGTATATTATATGTATATGGGATATGGAAAAAGGTTATGGCGTTATATACGCACCACCACCTGATCAGCTGGTATACGTTGATGATTTGCCCACAGTGGCCGAGATGATATGATGGGATGCCCTCAGAGGCTTGATGATATTATGTACTCATATACCTATGCATGGTACNTGTACGCATATACCTATGCATGGTACGACATTTATATGCATATGCATGACATTATAAATATGAAATGATTCATAGAGCTATTCAGACTTACATGTTAAGTCTTTTACTCCATGTTTCTCTATGTCTTTTATTTACTAATTATCATTCCTTGCATACTCGGTACATTATTTGTACTGACGTCCCTTTTACCTGGGGACACTGCATTTCATACTCGCAGGTCCCGATAGACAGGTCGAGAGTCCTCCAAGTAGGCTATCAGCTCAGCGGAAGGTGTTATTGCACTCCATTTGCTCCGGAGATGCTATTTGGTCAGAATGATTAAGATATGTATTGATTGGTATGGTGGGGCTCTGTCCCGACCTTTATGACAATTGTAACACACCGGAAAATTTCGAAGAACTTAAGTGTAAAGCCCGGTAAAATTTGCAAAGAAAATAATGTTTCATAGTGCCGGACTAGGCTTACGTGTTTGAGGAAAGTAAAGGAAAATTTTTGGCAGAAAAGTACGTTTATGCGGTCCATTATGCGATCGCATAATCACTCTGCGGGCCGCATAATGGCCGCAGAAGTGAGCAGGAGAGGGCAATTCTTGAAGAATCTATGCGGTTGATTATGTGACCGCATAATTATGCGACTGCATAACAGTTATGCGGACCGCATTGTGACCGCATACACAGATAGATTTTTGATCATTTTTGTCAGTAATTATGCGACCGATATGCGGTCCGCATATCCATTATGCTGTCGCATATGCGACCGCAGAACCGTTCCAGAGCTCCATTTTTGGGTTTTTAAAACCTGACCCTGTTTCGTTAAATACACTCTTTGGGCCATTTTTGAGCAATAATCTGACACTTTAGAGTGAGAGAGAGTGCCCTAGAGTGAGAAGGTGTTCTTCAATAATTGTTCTTTAATTCTTGCTCAAGTTTTGGAAGATTAAGCAGGGAAACTCACTAGGTCTTTATCCTAGAGGTAAGATTCTACACCCTAACCCTCAATTTCGAATTGTGTAGGAATGGATAATTAGAAAGATAATATTTGGGCATGAGGGTTGTTTATTTTACATGCATGTGTTATCAAAGGGTGTAGGAAGATTGTTGAGCTAAAAATGGTAAAGATTGGGTTGTGGGATGATGGAATCCTTCATAAAAAGGACCTTGAAACCTTATGCACACCTAGTGTTTAATAAATTGCTCAAGTGAGCTAGAACCATGATCATCTTCCTAAGTTTGGTTTAAATTGTTATATTTCTAAAATAGATTGAAGTTGCTAAGAATTCCGGAACATTTAGAGTGTAAGGAAGCTCAAGGGAGGTATGTTGGCTAAACTCTTCTCTTAGAATTGAATCCCACGATATTCATGTAAATTATGTAAGTCCCGAGTGATTCATTATGAAACTGGCTATTCCGAGTAAGATTGGGTTGAAAGATATATGTTCAGCAAGCATCCCAAATGCTTTATTCATTTTATGTTACCAATTGAGGATGTGTTAAAATATGGGTTGTGCATTAATAATGTTTCGACTTTAAGTCAAGTTCAAATGAAGGCTATTATGCCAAATTTTGTGAAATATCTCTATGTGCCTTAGACTCTAAATTGCTCACATGTGTACTACACACCTTGATTTGAATTGTATTTGTTGTTGATGATGATAATGATATTTGAAATTGATAAGGTGAGCATGAAATACTGAATATGGCCAACGTGCCAAGAATGATTTATATAATTTTGGCCACTAGTGCCAATGAGATGAAAAGATGTAAAGAAGTATGTAATGTGATGATTGATATAAAAAGGTTGATGTCTCGAATAAGACAGCCTAGCCGATCAGGTCATGATCGGACACCATGCCACACACATGGTGGTGATTGTGTTGGAAATTATAATTGAAATCGAAATTTTGGTTGATGTCTTCAAATAAGACAGCCTAGCCGATCGGGTCGTGATCGGACTCCGTGCTAAAATGACGGTGGTATTGGTACTTATAGTAATTATGGTTGATTCTCTAAGGAGATAGCCTAGCCGATAGGGTCGTGATAGGACTCCGTGTTAAAGACAGTGGTATTGATATTGAGAGTAATTGTGGTTGATGTCTCTAATGAGATAACCTAGCCGATCGGGTCGTGATCGCACTCTGTACTGAGAATACAGTGGTACTGGTATTGTGGACAATGGTATATTGATACTAAAAATCTTCCAATGTGAGATATGGAAATTAATTTGAACACTGTCTTGATCCTAAATTGAGGTTTGATGTTGATTACGGCTTTCATTGATACTATGATAATCTTGTTTGTATTATTTGTCATTCTATTGAGGGGGTGTTTAGTTATACATACTAGTACTATTCGATGGTACTAATGTCCCTTTTTCCAGGGGCGCTACATCTTTCAATGGATGTAGGTGGTTCCACAGCATGAGATATTGATCAGTGATAGCAGTGCACCTTCTTCCTAGCTGACTTGATGAGCCCCACTTCATTCTAGGGTCATGAATCTTTTGTAATTTGTGTATTCTGTTTGAGGTATAGTCGGGGCCTTGTTGCCGGCATTATCATTGTACTCTTCTTTATCTATAGAGACTCTGTAGATATAGTGTAGGTTGTGTATTGGTGCTGGGAAACTCAAAATATACATTATGTTGTGGTTGTATTACTTGTTCATTTGAGACTTTAAAATGCTGAAACTATTGGAAATGAATTGGTATTGTAGACATGAACACCTTTTGTCTAATTAATGAAAATATGTATTATCTCCATTCGTGGATGAGTTTGGGTAGAAGAAAATCTAACAGGTTTGCTCGGTCGGGTTTACTCGATTGAGCACCGGTCGGGCTCCTCGGTTTTGGGGCATGACAAACTTGGTATCAAAGCCTAAAGTTTTAATGTGTCCTAGGATATCTCGGAGCCGTGTCTAGTAGAGTCCTTATTATCGGTATGTTGTCGACCACATCTATAATTAGGATGCCACATGGACATTTAGGAATAATACCCTTCTTTCATGTTCTTGATCGTGCGACAAAGCTGGTTGTAAGATTGTTCCTCCTCTAACTCCTAAGTTGCTCTGATTTTCAGTACATGGCACCTAAGAAGAAGGCAAGAACTGGCCAAAGAGCCAATGTCACCCCAGGAGTGATAGTTGATCGTATAATTGATGATGCAGGTGAGCACCCAAGGAGTGAGGATATTCCTCCAGTTACTACACTACCTGACCCTACTACAACTGATCAGACTGCACCTGTCCCTACACCTACTGAAGGTGAAACAGTTCCTCCAACTGATATACCAGTTCCAGCTTCTGATTCTGGTGTTTCTGATGTTGATCTTAGGGGAGCCATACAGATGTTGGCTCAAATAGTGGCTTCCCAGACCTAGAGGTCTAATGTTGCACCCACTTCTTCTAGTCAGCCAGGGGATTCTACTGGTTCTAGGGTGAACAGGTTTCTCCAGTTGGATTCTCCAGTGTTCACGGGTACTAACCCAGAGGAAGATCCCCAGGATTTTATGGATGAGATGCACAAGACTCTCAGAGTTATGCGTGCTACTAAAACAGAGGCAGTGGAATTGGCCTCCTACCGCCTGAAAGAGGTGGCATATTCTTGGTTTGAACTATGGGAGGAGTCCCGTGAAGAAGGGAGCCCTCCGGCGAGGTGGGGTGAGTTTGTTGATTCCTTCATTGATCATATCTTGCCTGCCGAGACTAAGGTAGCCCGTGAGGCTAAGTTTGAGAACTTGAGGCAAGGTAGCCTGAGTGTGTGGGATTACCATATGAGATTTGCGTACCTGTCTAAGTATGCTATTTACATGTTGCCCACTATGGAGGCTAGAGTGCGCCGATTTGTATAGGGCCTTAGTCCCTTGGTAATTAATGAGGCTGCTACAACTACCTTGAATTCTGATATGAACTATGGAAAGATGATGGCATTCACTCAAGCCACATAGACAGGCAAATTAAGGAGCAGAATGGAGAGAGAGGGTAGTAATAAGGCCCAGTCTACAGGCAATTTTGGTGGTTCTTCGGGTGGTGGCAAGTCAACATTTAGAGGAGGATCGTTAGGGCCATCACAGTCCTTTGCTCAGTCTTCGGCTAGTGCACCGCCATCAGGGCCTAGTCAGCAACAGCAATTGAGCCGTTTCAGACCCAGTCAGGGAAATAGGGGCTCATATCAGCAGGGTCGTCATGGTGGTAGGTTCCAGCAGCAGAGGAGGCCCCCATGTCCTTATTGTGGAAAGATGCACCTAGGAATATGCTACATGGACTTACCCAAATGCTACGGATGCAGATTGAGGGGTCATATTCAGAGGGATTGTCATTCGTCCCGCCAGGGTACGGGCAGGGACATGGCTCAGCCATCCAATTCTGCAGCTACTACATCCGCAGCACCTCCTCCAGCTCGAGGCACTCCAACACCCGTAGGGTGTGGTGCAGCTAGGGGTGGAGCACAGAGTTTAGGAGGATCCGGCCGTTTCTATGCTATGAGGGGTCGCCAGAATTCAGAGGCTTCTCCAGATGTTGTCACAGGTATATTGACTGTCCAATCTCATGATGTATATGCTCTTATTGATCCCGGTTCCACTTTGTCATATGTCACACCTTATGTTGCTATGGAATTTGGGATAGAACCAAAACATCTTTATGAGCCGTTCTCTGTATCTACTCCGGTCGGTGAGTCTATTTTGGCCGCGCGGGTTTATAGGGATTGTGTTGTCACGTTGCGTGGTCGGAACACCGTGGCCGATCTTATTGAATTGAGAATGGTCGATTTTGATATGATAATGGGGATGGATTGGCTTTATTCATGTTTTGCCAAGCTTGATTGCCGAACCAGGACTGTTAGGTTCGAATTTACAAATGAGCCAGTTATTGAGTGGAAGGGTGATGATGTAGTGCCGAAGGGTAGGTTTATTTCTTACCTTAAGGCCACAAAGATGATCAACAAGGGATGTATTTACCATTTGGTCCGGGTTACAGACACCGATGCTGAGGCACCTACACTTGAGTCTGTGCCTGTTGTGAATGAATTTTCGGGAGTCTTTTCGGGTGAACTCCTTGGGATCCCACCAGACAGGGAGATTGATTTTGGGATTGATGTGATGCCAGACATATATCCTATATCTATTCCACCCTACAGAATGGCACCGGCAGAATTGAAGGAGCTAAAGGAACAATTAAGAGATTTGTTAGAAAAGGGTTTCATCCGGCCGAGTGTGTCGCCTTGGGGCGCACCGATCCTTTTTGTAAGAAAGAAAGATGGGTCACTGAGAATGTGTATTGACTATCGGCAACTTAATAAAGTCACAATCGAGAATAAGTACCCACTGCCAAGGATAAATGACTTGTTTAATCAATTGCAAGGTGCCCGGTACTTCTCCAAGATTGATTTAAGATCCGGGTATCACCAATTGAAGATCAGGGAGCGGGATATTTCGAAAACAGCTTTTAGGACTTGGTATGGGCATTTTGAATTTCTGGTGATGTCTTTTGGGCTAACAAATGCCCCAGCAGCCTTCATGGATCTTAAGAATCGCGTTTTTAAGCCATTCCTCGACTCTTTTGTGATTGTGTTTATTGACGATATTCTCGTATATTCACGAAGTCGAGAAGACCATGCCGATCATCTCAGGGTAGTTCTGCAAACCCTGCATTAGCACCAGTTATATGCAAAGTTTTCAAAGTCTGAATTTTGGCTTGAATCAGTCATATTCTTGGGTCATGTAGTCTCTAATGAAGGAATTATGGTTGATCCTCAATAAATTTCAGCTGTGAAAAATTGGTCGAGGCCTACAACTCCAATAGAGATTCACAGTTTCTTAGGCTTAGCTGGATATTACAGAAAGTTTGTGGAGGGTTTTTTTTACTCTTGCCTCCCCATTGACTAAATTTACGCGTAAGGCAATTAAGTTCTAATCGTCAGATGCTTGTGAAAAGAGTTTCCAAGAATTGAAAGCAAGATTGACTACGGCACCGATGTTGACTCTGCCAGAGGGTATAGATGGATTTATGGTATATTGTGATGCTTTAAGAATTGGGCTTGGGTGTGTATTAATGCAACATGGGAAGGTGATAGCTTATACTTCCAGGCAACTCAAGAATCATGAAAAGAACTGATATCATCCTAGGAAGCTCAGCTCTATTCAAGGACAAGGATGAAGCTTTGGAATCTCAAAGATGGCCTTTAACAAGACGTCAAGCTAAAGAGTTGCAAAACAAGTCCATTAGACTTCAAGTGCAAATAAAGAAGCTTTTAATTGTGGAGGACGAGCTCAAGACCAAAGTAGATAAATCACACAAGTTTTACAATTATTTGGTGGCCCAAATTGAAGTCCAAGAGGAGGAAGATTGGGTCCCGAACTCGGCCCTTGAAATCTAGCAAAAGGGCACCCAGAAGAGCCCAAAATGAGCTTAAAAGAGGTCCAAATGGGGGGGGTTTGAAATGGAGCCCAATTGGAGTCCAAACCAATGGCCCAAACTAGTAGTTTTAAGGCCCAAATATGCCCCAAAGGGATTTGGCCGCCCCCTATCTAATTTGTGACTTTTCTTATTTCTTAGCATCCATCCTACCTAATTTTGATGATTTTGTTACCCCTTAGCAGCCCCAACCTAATTTGATGACTTTTGTTACTCCTTAGCAACCACCCTACCTAATTGTAATGACTTTTTATGCCTTAGTACTCCTATAAATA